TGTGATCTTTTTTTTTTAAGTGTACCTGTACCCCTCTATGTTGCGGACTACGAAGAACCGCTCTAACTGAGAAGCACCTACGCCCCTTGTGCTTAATTCTTTTCTCCACCAAGTTTAGGTGGTGGCCTCTAGTCTTTGTTATGGAGTTTACCATAAATAGTTTATTGCTGATGTTGCTATCACCATTGAACATCTTGTACATGAAAATCATGTCCCCCCCTTAATCTCTTCACTTCCAGTGTGAACATGTTTGCAGCAGCCTGGCATTGCATGCTATTGTTCAATCTGTGTTCTACAATGACCCCCAAATCATTTTCCATTTCTTACTTACCTAGTGGAGTACCCATTAATGTGTATTCCTGTAATGTTATAGTGTCTAAGTCCGTGTCTACCCTCCTGATTTTAGTGTCATCAGCAAACATGGAAACATGGCTATTCATGCCCTCCCCGATATAGTTAATAAACAGGTTGCTTTATTGTTTAATGTTTATTACTTATTATTTAATGATTCCTATGTATTACCTCGGTGAATGTAAGCGAGTAACAAAATGCAAACAAAATACACTGTCATTTTTATTTAATGGTTGAATACCTTTATTTTATACCGATAATATATGTTGGAGGTTGGGGCCACGGAACATAGCATTGCGGGGTGGGGGAGCACTAAACGCATGACCCAAAAGGCCACCAGTTCAAGTGAGACATTGTTATGTTTTAATTCTTAAATAATAAAGTGCTGGAATTTCTCACAGGAAGATCTTCAAAGCCGAGTTGTGTTGTATCATGGATTCCAGTGTAATGTTATCACATCCCTGATAAAACAAACACTTTTTTTTTCTAAACCATTGTATTACATAGTCATAAAACCAAGCATACAGTATAATTAATTACAGTTAAACACTTGTAAACATTATATGAGGCACGGGACAAGACATGTATGAAATACTTTTCACATACTCAGTTATACAGACAAGGTTCAATTAAATCGATCAAGCAGTCTGCACCCCCATTAATGATCATAGTATTTTGCTCCCATCTAATTGGGGTTCCTATGTGCTGCAACACTATTCTGCATGGTTATATTATTTTCTGTGTTACATTTAAGGCATATTACCTAATTCAAAGTTCATTTCTAGGACTGAAACTCCAGAGAATGTTACACTACATGACGCAGTACCCTTTTGTAACTGAAGCAATTCATGTTTTAATTAGCAGTTCCTTAATTTGTTCAAGTAAGCTGCCCTAACTCAAATTTTAATAAACAAAACATTAATAATATGCACAATAAGTTCACTCTTCTTATTAGATTATGTACATCCCCTTACTGCCCTGCAAAATAGTAACAGACCCAATGATTATCAGGCATCATTGGTAAAAGATCCCTTCCTCTAACTAAACAAAAGGGTTGCGCACTCATGGCCTTCTTTGTCACCAAGTATGGTGGATTCTTTTCCTTAAGCTCATTGTAAATGTATCCGTGTGCATACCTAATGCAGAGGTAACCTATCTTAAAGTTTAGCAATGAGTATATATATTTTCAGGATTACTTATACAGTGTATTTCGGTTTTAGTAGGGCATGACTCCATATTGATACCCAAAATCAACCCCAAATTTATCTGAACAGGTCACACCTACTTTTGGCAAGCCATACGGCTTAAAGAGAATGAACCTCCAGACAGCAGAGCTATATGATGATTTTTTCTTCTCTGATTCAGAAAATATTGAATCTACTAAGCAGCTTTGTGTATTCCCAGGCAATAAACATAATTCCTAATGATGATGAGACATACAGGCTACAAAGAACAGCAACCAGCAAGAAATGGGAAGCAAATGCAAAGCCATCTAATTACATTTATTTAGCAATACTAAATTCATATACAGACGCAAACCTGTTCTTGAAAACAGGTGCAAGGTAACCTACTAGAACAGACTGTATGGTGGAACTGTCAAAATGTATCCTTGCTGTTCTGTGATTGCCCATTCCTAGTGATTAGCAGCTCAGCTGAGACAATGAATCAGAGCGCAGAGATATAGGAAATAATTCCTTTATGGAGACAGGCGGCAGGATGTCGCATACATCTGCTTCTTTGAAAGGCGGCTCTGCAGGTGGATAGATGGCACCTTAACTTTTGCTGTTGTTACAGTAGAATTCAAATAAAGTGGCTATCTATCCAATACTGATCTTTAACCATGTTTGTTTTATTCCTTAGATGATACATTATTCAATCTTTGGTAACAAAAAATGGGTAACATTGGGACTACTCTGGAAGTCAAATTTCAAATGAGTGAACTTAGATGAAGAACGATGCTCCAAAGGCAATTACCCATAACAACTCATTAGATGAGTTTATTTGTTTTGCAGGGCAATTCCAGGATCAAAGAGCAATAGCATAACATGATGTATATGTGTTCAGTTTTAAAACAAGCTCATATACAGGTGGATCCGTCCATCTCTCTGCTGCTAATAAAAATTATAAAACCTGCAATCGGGGCTGGGAGGAGCTTAAAACGAGCTTCCTAGCCCATGGTTATTAATGACCCAAAATACATTAAAAAAGAGTTTGTTGGCCACAATGTTATATTTTGACTTTTCATTAAAGAACCCATATATATTCCATGTTGCCAGTGTACATAATTAATGTTAACAGATTCTTCTACTGGGTGTTGCAGATTACTACAGTGAAACAGTGATTGTGACATCGATTGTGTCTGCTGGCATATGCCACTATACTCTTGTCAGGATAGGCCTCATGACTGGTCCGTTTCATCATAGACTACATGCTCTGTAGGTTAGTTGGCCTCAGATACACATAGGTCCGTGTTTGAGTTATTCAGACTTTGTAATCTCTAAGGCTGGTTGACCATGAGTTCAAAGTCCTATCAAATCACGCTATAGTATGAAACAAACAAGAAAATTGAGCTAACTGAAAAGAGGACAAATGGCAGAGACAATCAATGGCATGTCAGCCATATATCATAACCATTCTTGTTCCATCTTCCTATAAGTAACTGTTCACTGTTCTTTGTTAGGGAATAAGTGCATATTTAGGACATAACGGAGCATAGTATTAGCAGCCATTTGATTTGCATTGACATTGCAGAGATAGTAAAGGGAAATTAAAGACACTTTGCCTCCTAATTGTTCATTCTTAAAGTGCTTACGTATATTTGAATCACTGTTCCCATTTCTTTGGCTATTATGTGCATAACCCCTCTCTGAGTGCATTAATGTCCAGCTTTTCTAGAACTTTGGAAACCATCTTCATCTATGTGTGAGTTTTGTCCATGTACATCTCTGATCACTGCGTGCTTCTGTATATTACTGAGTATTTTAGAAAAAAATCTAACTTTTAATTTTTTGTTACATTAACACAAGAATTGATGCTCCCCACATTCCTCTTTCAATAAACAATAATTGCAATCACTTACTATTGCTATGCTTCCTGACTTTAAACTTCACTGTGACATTTACAGAGCCACGTCACCAGTGACATACAGCATAATACAATTAGACTGAAAAGAAAGGAAAAACGTGGCCCCAAAATATGATTATCCTTAAAGGACATCCTTCTCCCCTAGATGAAAATGGTAATGTATGCATACTTTAGCACATACATTGGGTAAATGCATCATACTCCTGTAGTACAACATAGTAATATTTTATATCAACCATAAAGATCTTACTATAACCAAATCATGGGGTGTACTACAAGCATAATATTTATTGTGCCTCTCCTGTTTTATGTGACAAATTTGTTAGATGAACCCATGGATCACCACTGTACAGTATTCAGTGAAAATGTATTCCATGCACAGAAAAATAGTAGCTAAGATGCTGCAAGGACAGGTACCCAACACAGTGTATGGAAGTGAATGAAAAAGGAATTGCGTGTCTTCTAGTATGGCCTCACAGAGTACTCAGGATACACAAAGCAGCAAGCAGACATATCGTGGTGTACCATAAAGTACCCCCATTGCCTGTACCGCGGAGACAGACTTGTACCTTTTGTTTAAGACATTAACATTCAAAGGTGAAATCTGATTGGTCTCTTCTTTTTTCTTCGCCATTGCTCTTTGGACTGCCTGACTATGTAAACCTTATTGTGTGCTAACCCATCTTTCTCTAGAATAAAGAAACACTTCTATTCAAATTCTGCATTGTCATAAATATTGGCTGGACTCTTGTTTGCATTTATATGAATAGGTGATGGCTGCACGCCAAGATTTGTTTGGTATGTTACAGGAACAGGATTGATGTGTTAGAAGAGGGCGCAAAACATAGGATATGACATTTCTCTGTACACCATATCACACATCTCTTCTCTTAGTAGTCTTCTCATTTACTATTTGTGACTTCTTCATGGGAGACAAATTGCTACAACAAATCTAATCAATGTTTCCTGTTTTCTATTTATACATGCACCTCTATTTCCTTTAAATGGGCCTCAGTGGGGGTTAGATATTTGGCTTATAAATGTGCCCATTAAGACCCACCAACAAATTATAAAACCATCTAATATTTGCTCCATTGAGCCTGCTTACAGACCAGATCAAAAGATCTCTGCTTTCTATCCACATTTTGGGGAAGTGGAAAGAAAGAGAAAAGATGGCAGCACACTGAGATTTTGTAAGCCAGGTATAAGGACTATGAGACTCTTAATCCTGTTCAAGTAAAAACCATAGGGCATTATTTCAGTTAATAAGGCAATAAGCAATGCCCACAGTGCAGTCACTCATCAAAGCCAGTTAGGGATTATTTTCTTTGTTCTATGTACCCTAAATTGAGGAAAGCTGACATTTGACTGGTGGCTAAGGTTACCTTAATATCATTGATCTCTATGGCATCTAGGGGGCTGATTATGTACTACTAGGCTATTTTTATTGTGCCACCCTCCTTTATCATAGGTAATGGTAGCTGAACAGTTATAGACATTTTGTATAATTTAAATAGGTTTATGCTGCATGTGATTACATGTTAATTTTTTTTACTGTTTCTCCCATAAACTTAAATAAATAAATAACTGTTATAAGACAACGAAACATGGCATAGACTACCATCCCCTTAAATATTTGCTGCCCTAGGCCCAGCCCTATGTGGCACATGAACAAATCTAGTTCGGGTGACCTAGTGTGCCTAGACTTGTGAAATACCTCCCCCCAGCCATGAGGAGCGTACAGGAGGTCTCCGTACAAGCAGTACAAGTAAGTGTGAGTACAGAGATCTGATGAGCTAGTGAGGCTCTTGTTGTGTGTAGTTTGGGATTGTGGAGTGAGGTGAATTAATGCTTTAGCATGTCAATGAATAAAAGGAAGTGTGTAAGCATCCATTAAATTCTCATTTGAGCTGTTCTGCGTCGAGACAGTTTAGACCTAAGAAAGGAACAGAGAACGAGAGAGAAAAAAAGAGAGAAAGTCACTAAAAGTGAAATGTCACATTCCCACCCAAAAATATTAGGAAGCAATTACACTGTTTTATGCAGCATTGCCCATTGCAGCTCATGTACCAATTCATTTTATATGGTTCCTCAATCCACACAGTGTGGTGTGTTAGGGGTCACAGGCATTGCTTGGTTCATGAAGTGCTTTGGTAGCCAGAAAACAATGAGCACACTCCCAAACTGGACATGTAGGTGTGAATGCAACTATCATATGTGTTCTCAGGTAGAATACCGTTAGACAAAAGTTGGGCCACTCTGTTCAATTCATGAGTTTTGCTGAAAAGATGTAAACTACTGGAGGAACACTATTTCTGACAGATATTTATAATTCACAATTTCACTTATTCTGCTGAATTGTGGGAGTCATCTTAAAGATAATTGGTCATGATAAAAAAATGGAATAATAATGATGATGATAAAAAGAATACTAATAATAATAACAACAACAATAATTGTTATTATTATTATTATTCATTTATTTATTTATTTTTTAAAGATAATTTTTACTGAATTTTAAATGTAAGGAAACAAGACAATACAATGAAACAAAACTATCAACAAGAATAAAAACACAACTTCTAACACTAAATCAGTGTGTGCCTCCTAATTAACAGGTTAGCATAATGTACAAAATACATAAATCTACAAGTACACCTAGCATAATGTCAGAAAAGAGGAATAAGGGAAAGCATAATGAAGGAAAGATCATCTCAGTATCAGCAAACTTGAATTAGGGTGGGAGTGGAATTGTATGGGTGGAGGAGAGCCAGGGCCCCCATACATGGTCAAAAAATTGGAGTTGTCTGTTGTTATTATTATTATTATATTAAAGTGGATATTGCTGACGTGTTTTTGAAGGTGCGTGCTCCAGGGCTATACTGCTGATCCTGGCTTCACTATTTTGTGTGTCACTGATGTGGAACAAGCAAAGGCATATCAAATGTCCCAAAACCATGACATGCACATGCATGTTCTAAGTTAGTGACTCAGCACGTAGTGAGAAAAGATTAGGCTCCTTTTACCTCCTTTTATGATTCTGTATGTTCAGAATTCTCTGACTGTGTGTTGCTATGGTGCTGTGTAGGCAAAGCTTAAAGGAGAACTATGAGGTGAGTGCTTTTCACTCACCTCATAGTTCTAGCCGACCTGTAACAATGAGACTGTCACAGGTCGGCTCAGTAGAACGGGAAGTGAGGGAACACATACCGGCATTAGCTCACTTCTCGATCCTGTCACGGCTCTCTGCCGTGACAGGGGAGGGACTGGATTCCCCCCTCCCCCGCTCCCATCCTCCAGCGCTGACTGGCAGAACGGACGGGGGAGGGTACAGCTGGCTCTGCCTCTAGATAGGCAGAGCCAGCTGTCACTTACGCAGCTGGGCAGATCCAAACATAATTGTCGGGATCCGCTTCAGCTGCGGCGTCTCAGTATACCTTGAGATGAAGCTCGCGGTATACTGAGCTTAGGGTGACGGGAGGACGCTAGTTTGTGTCCTCCCGTTACCCTAAGGAGAACTATGGGGAAAAACGCTTACCCCATAGTTCTCCTCTAACTAAAAAAAAACTAAAATGAATTATCCATTTATGGTGATTCTAGCAAGATTTGACTCAATTTAAATTACACAGGGGCATAAACTATATATACATATGTCACCCAAGGAAACCAATAGATAGCAGTGAAATCTGTAGTGTCTGTAAGTACCCAGTAAAGGAAAAAGGGAAACGGGAAAGAAAGGTAATTCAGTATGAGAAAATGCAGAATGTATAGCAAATATGTTACTGGTAGAGAACTTTCACTTCTCACATCTTGTTCTTGGATAATGAACATCTGCCTTCCTATGGTGATTGGGTTAAAGTGTCTGTACCTGTGTGGATATAAATGCACATAACTGAAGAAATGTCTTGGGGAAGCTAAGCAGCCTCTTCAACCTTATAGAACAAGTCCAGTTGAATGTGACTATTACTAGTAATACAATGGCCTGGATTAATAAATACCTACACATATATAGAGTATAGGATGTTATTTCTGAAGTAAGCTGAATTTGAGTTTTAAGGAGTCATATTTAACTTCTGCAGTGTAGTACACATGACCATTTCTGAGTAATCAGTAGCAAACCTTCGTGGGGCTCCCTTGTAAGAATAACATTTTGACAGGGCCCTAGAGTGAAAATGTTATTAAGGAACCTGGCAACCTCTCTCTGTACCACTTGGTACTGGTGGTCATTGGTGAATAGTTTATGTTAAAGCTTTAACTGCCAGCTACTTAACACTGGTGGTAGTTTGTTATATCCGCCTGTTGTTAAACTCCTACATTAAAAATCAGTGGTGGCCCTTTTCCCCCATGCTGTTAGCCACCTCCTTTGTATAGGCAGTTAGTGGAGTTCCTTAATGGCACACTGGTGTTAGCACTCTATTACATTGATCTGTCGCTGGTGGTCCTTTATATCTTCCAATTGAAATACCCCTTACACTGTTGGTCCACGGTTGCCCATTTAATCCTCTATTGATAGATCCCTTTTAGTTTGGTGGTTAGTGGCAGACCTTTAGCTCCCCTATAATGAGCCCTTGCCTTACATTGGAGGTCAGCGGTGGCCCTTTTTTGTTCCCCTACTGATTGTCTTTTTTTACATTGGTGGTCAGCGGCAGACCTTTATCTCCCCTTTATTAAGCTGCTACCTTACACTGGAGGTCAGTGGTGATCCTTTTTGTCCCTCTCCTAATAGCCCCCTTTTACATTGGTGGTCAATGGCAGACATTTATCTCCCCTGTTATTAGCTCCTTCTTTATGCTTTTGGTTAGTGGTGGCTCTTTATGTCCCTCTATTGATAACACTCCTTACACTGGTTGTCATGATGGCCTTTTATTAATCTCTAAGGGAACCCACCTGTATATTTCTGGTCAGTGGGAGGAATTTGTGTCTCCCTAAGAAAAGCTCCCTTCACACAGGTGGTCAATGTGATTGAGCTTTCAACTCGTCAGTCTCTCTTTGATTTTCTTGTGTGCTTTCGCTTTGTGGTGCATGTAGGGGGCAGCTGAACTTTTTGCTTGAGAAGTGCTAATGCCTGTGATCCATAAGAAAGGTTCTGACTGCTTGCCTTCTGCCAGGCTGGCTCTGCAGGTACACTATATTGCCAAAAGTATTGGGACGCCGCCTTTACACGCACATGAACATTAATGGCATCCCAGTCTTAGTCCATAAGGTTCAATATTGAGTTGGCCCACCCTTTGCAGCTATAACAGCTTCTGGGAAGGCTGTCCACAAGTTTTAGGAGTGTGTCTATGGGAATGTTTGACCATTCTTCCAGAAGCACATTTGTGAGGTCAGGTACTGATGTTGGACGAGAAGGCCTTACTGGCAGTCTCTGCTCTAATTCATCCCAAAGGTGTTCTTTCGGGTTGAGTTTAGGACTCTGTGCAAGCCAGTCAAGTTCCTCCACCCCAAACTCGCTGATCCATGTCTTTATGGACCTTGCTTTGGTCACTGGTGCGCAGTCATGTTGGAACAGGAAGGGGCCATCCCCAAACTGTTCCCACAAAGTTGGGAGCATGAAATTGTCCAAAATGTCTTGGTATGCTGATGCCCTAAGAGTTCCCTTCACTGGAACTAAGGGGCCCAGCCCAACCCCTGAAAAACAACCACGCAGCATAATCCCCCCTCCACCAAACTTTACACTTGGCACAATGCAGTCAGGCAAGTACCGTTCTCCTGGCAACTGCCAAACCCAGACACGTCCATCGGATTGCCAGACAGAGAAGCGTGATTCGTCACTCCAGAGTGTGACGATAGGGGGGTCTGAGTCTGAATATTAAAAAATAGAATTATTTTGCTCCCCCAAGTCAGAACAAATGCAGGCCTTCATTTAGCATTTGCCAGGTCCATCCACATTCCACAGACCAGAAATCTGCTATCTGGCTGTGATCTTTTATTGCCCCTCCAGCAGAAGTGAGCCTCTAAGCCTTTTATAGCTGTCCCTAATTAAAGGCATGGCACCAAGCACTCATCTATTACAAGTGGACAAGTTAAAATAAACAAGCAGGTCTGCTAGAGAGGTGACCCCACTTTCACCCAAAAGTCATAAACCTAAGTACAAAATCAAGCTACATTTATTAATTTGGAATTGGGCGGGGATAGAGTAAAATAAAGGTTCATCCTCGCCTGCTTTCCCTCCCCAGCCCTTCCCTAGGGGCCGGCTCCTGGACACCCTCCAAAAAGGGCTTATAAAATATTCTGTCAAGGCGACTAGAGTGGCTCTTGGTTTTTTAAAACATCATCGAGGAACTAGAAGACTTAACATCGCTGAAGAGTTCCCCTTTAATCTTTGGACATTATCTACTGGAAGCCTGCTTGAAGAAGAGCCCTGCAGACTTCCACTTTGCTTATTGAACTCTGTCAGAACTCACAATATATAAAATACATGGGTTTGTGGGTAAAGTACATGGTTTGTGGGTAAAGGGTTACAAATCTCAACTTCTCTAGAGTCCATTGGCGGCGTGCTTTACACCAGTGCATCCGACGCTTTGCATTGCACTTGGTGATGTAAGGCTTGGATGCAGCTGCTCAGCCATGGAAACCCATTCCATGAAGCTCTCTACGCACTGTTGTTGAGCCAATCTGAAGGCCACACAAGGTTTGGAGGTCTGTAGCTATTGACGCTGCAGACAGTTGGCGACTTCTGAGCACTGTGCGCTTCAGCATGCGCTCACCACGCTCTGCCATTTTACGTGGCCTACCACTTCGTGGCTGAGTTGCTGTTGTTCCCAGTTGCTTCCACTTTGTTATAATACCACTAACAGTTGACCGTGGAATATTTAGTAGCAAGGAAATTTCACGGATGGACTTATTGCACAGGTGGCAACCTATTATGGTACCACGCTAGAATTCACTGAGCTCCTGAGAGCGACCCATTCTTACACAAATGTTTGTAGAAGCGTCTGCATGCCTAGGTGCTTGATGTTATACACCTGTGGCCATGGAGGTGATTGGAACACCTGAATCCAATGATTTGGAGGGGTGTCCCAATACTTTTGGCAATATAGTGTATATTAATGTTAAGAAAAATAAGTCTGTACTTCTCCCAGGCCTGAGCCAGAAGTCAAGAGAAGAGGAGATCAGAACACCACATGTGTATATGTGAGATATAATTTCCTAATCTGCGTATGTAAAATGTCCAGTGGAATCTAGTTGCTTTGGGCAACATTTCAATTCTCATTTTCTTCAGTTTAAAAAAAATCAGCCTCATTGTATACCTTTTCCAAATAACATTCTGCAACTTCTTTTCAAAAGTATAAGAATATTATAGCTAGCTACTGGTACCATAAATATAGAAAATTATTTTTTACACTGTATAAACTTTGTACTTAGAAGATAGAGGGGCAACAGAATCACTACCTGTGTCTCAGAACAAGTCCCCAGTATTGCCACAGTCTTAGGAGAATCACCACACACATGTACACTATGTCATATTTCAATACATTATGATGTAATCCTCACCGAATGGAGCCAGCCAGAAGAGGGTTAAAGGCATACAGCCAATCATGCATGTCCTTGTCATTGCTGGCCTGCAGCAGAATGCCGCGATGTTGTGTACACACAGCAAAGGTGTTGGGGGTCTGCAGAAAAAGAACGCATTCACATTTTTAATGTATACAAACAACAGTATAGGGCTGATGGTTATGCAGCATTACCTACCTACTAAAGGTACAAAGAGTAATAACTAATAGGAGAGCCAGTAACCATGAGTTTACAATACAATGATGCCCAGGAACCTAACCATTTATGTGTGGATAGGATTGCCAGTCAACCATTTTCAAGTTTAAAGCGTTAAACTGTTTTACAAGTTAGGTCTCTACCTCATGTTGAATATTGATATTATGAATTCTTTCATCCAGTCAGCTGGTGGAGCTCTAGTATGCTATTCACATCATTAGCATGATTACTTTTTTTAGCTGTGCCAAGAGAAAGCCATTGTTTACAGACCAACACTAGTTCATCGCGGCAGTGACTCATCCGGTATCAGATAGCTGAGTCCCAGGCTTCTCTTAGATAAACAGAGCTTCAAACCAAGCTGTTCTGTTGGGCTTCCTCTTTAGCTAACCTATAGTGCACTAAAAACCCATTGTTTTTCATTCAATGTTTATTTGTAAGACAAAGACTTAATATAGATAGCGAAAAACAGTTATAAAACAACAGTTTCAAAAATAGAATAAAATTGTCCCACATTATTATAGTTTCCTTTTAAGATTCAGATATAGTCACACTTCTTCTTAGGGCCTGACTCCCTCAGCTTACCAGCAGTACCACTCCTGGCCAGCTCAGCCTGCTTCTTTGTTTAAGGAAGGAAAGTGGGTTTCATGGTAGGAAGCATGTTTCCGGATGGAGAATGGGTTTCAAAATAGAGAGAAGGTGGATCTCAGGTGGGAGTATGGATCTCAGGATAGAGAGTGGGTCTCAGGTAGTAGAGTGGGTCTCAGGTGGTAGAGTGGGTCTCAAAAGGGAGAGTGGGTCTCAGTATAGTCGGTCTCAGGAAAGAGAGTGGGTCTCAGGATAAAGAGTGGGTCTCAGGATAAAGAGTGGGTCTCCGGATAACGAGTGGGTCTCAGGATAACGAGTGGGTCTCAGGATAACGAGTGGGTCTCAGGATAACGAGTGGGTCTCAGGATAACGAGTGGGTCTCAGGATAACGAGTGGGTCTCAGGATAACGACTGGGTCTCAGGATAACGAGTGGGTCTCAGGTGGGAGAGTGGGTCTCAGGTGGGAGAGTCTCTTTTTGGATTGAACATGGGTTTTAGGATGAAGAGAGGGTTTTAGAATGAAGACTGGGTTTCAGGACGGAGTGGGTTTGTCTATGCCAACGGGTATAATTTCTTACTTATCCATTCCACTTTTCTTTTGTATATTGTTAATATACTAGCGACAAATGAGCATCTCTTGGCATGAACAAAACAGTGGCCACAGAAACCTTCTTGACTTTAAACCGCTGGTCAATCTATGGAGATCACTTTCTCAACTTCCTATTACTACCTCCACATTGGACATAACACCAACACTTCACTGCTGGTCCAGGAACATGATATAAATATTTCAGTTTGTAAATAAATCACACTTAAACCAGTCATTTTGTGGCATGATCTTACCTTCAGCATGGCCTGTTGATCCTCACTGTACTCCACCTGAGCCTGAGAGAGATTAAGAATGGCTCTCTCCACTTGATCCCGATCACTGTTGTAGATGTATACATAGGGACGTCTGACCACCACATACCTCTTTACCCAGCCTCCGGTGTGAGGCTCCAAAAAGTGCAAGTACCCTTTCTTAGAAACAATAGGGCTGAGAGGAAGAAAGAAAAGATTAAACTTCTTTTCCAAAAGTTCCGCATTTCAAACTAGCAATTTACACTCTCATATATAATACCTACCCTCAATTAAAGCTGGGAAAAAAAAAAAATGTCTAAAGAGGCATGTGTATTGTTACTTGAATCTTGGTTTGCTTTGTGTATGTCTTCCAGATCTGGGCAGTAATATAATGTGAAAGTTTGCGGAGCTTCCTATAATAAAGACCAGTCCCTGCTGTTCTCTCTGCTTGAGCATTGTGACTGGTCTGGAATCTGCCCACTCTTGTAGTTTTCTGAAGATAGCCTGTAGTGGGTGGGCCTGGAGAGTCCCTCCCACATCGCTGATCTCTGCACAGAGTAATGATGTCACCACTACCTTTCCAAGGTAATAACTTGGATTTGGTGTATACAAAGTGGATTTATATCCTTTGTGGCTAGTGAGGAATATATTTAAATTAATGTTCTTGTGCCCAAAGTTCAGCCTAAACATTCACCTACCTTCTGCTGATAATTGCAGCGCAATGATTAGAGGTTTTCCACCTAACACCCAGATAATAATGTAAACTCTGCAGCTTCTGGACTTCAAATATTTGTACAGTAGCCAATATAGGAACCCAGTAAGTAAATTGTGAATCTAGTCCATTCAGATTTCTACTTACCTAACCCGGACTTCCTGTATATCTGGATTAAACAAGCTAGAAGGTATCTTGAGCCCTGTGCTGGGAGACTTCTGCAGCTCTTTGGCAGGACTTGGAAGATCCCTCTCAGGACTGAAAGATCGTGAGAGTGGCTGGGGACTGGAAAAATCACAAGAGAAGTGTCATTAAAACAATTCCATTAAGGTGTTAAGCTTAACAATTCATTGATAGGTTGGAAAACTGCTATTAACACATTCCTCTAACAACTCATTTATAATGAGCAAGGCAGGCTAATGTAAATGTGCCATGTTACATGACAGTATACGCTGCGGCTTTATACTCTGACTTTCCTAAAATGCCCATTGACGATGATTAGCCTTAAATAATGTAGAGCAAGTTGTACTTTATTATATATTGTACATTCGTGAGAAAAATAGCCTTTTATAGCCAGGATTTTTCCCAGTATAAAACATCTGCCACACATAGCTTGTTTAATGTAATACTAAAGTCAAAAGGTTTTTAAGCTATTTCAAATGCTAATTAAATCACTCACAATGGATGCTGTTCCTTGTTGTTTAAAAAAGTGTTACTTTCCTGCAGAATCAGCTGGTCCCCTGAACACTGGTCCTGATGTCCTGTTTTAGGGTGAACCGTTTCCCTTACAGGGTCCTATGGAGCCACCCTTGTGTGTGCTAGTAAGCTGTATCTCACACGCAAACACAAAGGCAAAACAAGGCAAGACTCTCCCTGCTATCCCTCCTTCTTCCTTCTCCTTCTCTGCTTTCTCCTCCTTTCCTTCCTTCCTGCTGGGGACTGTGCTCTCTCTTGTGATCTTGCACTGGACTTTAAGTTCAGGGAAGCTGAGCTGAGAGAGTTGGAGCCAGAAACATGATGACTTGCCGGGTTGATGTATATTTGTATGATCTGGATTAATTACTGAAAATAATCTGAAAGTTTGATATTACTTTAAGCATATATTACTGACCTGGACTCTGAGTTGCAGTATCGTCCTTCTACCAGGGATGGACAGGTGCTGGAAGGTGTGAGAGTTGACATCCCGATTGCAGAAAGAGAGGGGTCACGGAGGAGTGTAACTGACATCTCAGACAGCTGAAATAAAAACTCACAAGTCACTAAAGAGCTACGCATGAACAATATTTGCCACTTAAAGAACTCCTCTTAATAAATCAGACATTATTCCACAATCTATGGTTTTCTGAAGAACCTTAAATTTGCCTTCAAAATTGATTAACACCTTCACTGCCAGAACAGCAGTCAGTGGACACTCATAGTCAATGCACATATACTGGAAGTTTATATCACCTAATTCTTCAATTTGCCTTCTTTCTCTCATAAGGAGCTAGTATAAACACTGTCGCTGCCCACGTCTTTTGAAATATGATCTAGGGTTATTCTTAAAGACTAAAGACAAGACTAAACGTAGACTGAACTAAGACACATTAATACCTCTGAAGCAAATAATGTTTAACTAAAGGGAATATATGGCATCTGTACCACAGAAGGTAATAGGAGGGGGGAGGGCACCATAAGGTCATATATTTACAGTATGGCAAGCAGGGATGTTAAAACTTAGACTGCAGAGAGTCTGGTGTTCAATCATACTCTGCCTAGGAGACTTGCAGTGATTGAGAGCATTAGCATGGCACAACTTTTTGCAGTTATACTAAGTAGGAAGCAGAACCTGTAATTGCTAGATATGGCTGCACCCTTAAACATGTTCAAACCATTCCTAGAACCAATGCTTTTAATATGCTGACACTGAAAAGGTAATAGGTAAAAGGGTATTGGAGACTGTAGTTTAACATTGTCTAATACAAGGACCAATCTTCACACTGGAAAATGAAGCCTGCCTTCCTAATTAAACTATACTTAAGATATATCGTTCATGTGGCAGAAGTGAGATCTTTACCCTGGTCCCACTAATGGTTTAAACTGGCCCCCACCCTCTAAAACAATCAGTAATCAGACTGAAGAAGACTCACCTTGCTTTCACTGGCGCTTACACACACATGACTGTAGGTGTACTCTCTGTTAAATGTGTGGGTGAGCAGTCGGAGACACTGTAAAATTTATAAGATCACCAAATCAATGAAGTACAAAAACCTACAAACCTCATATTCAAGTAATGACAAAGAACATTACTGACAGATAAGCAATAGAAAACCTATGGCCAAATCATCTGCATAGTAAATATCCTTGTTCAAAACATGCAGACTTAAGAAAGAAAACCTGTCCTGAAATTAAATCTGTAAAACTCCATTGCAGACATCTACCTGAAAAAAATCTTGTTGTCGTGCTGAATTTGGCTTCAATACTGTCTGAGTCACAAGTATACAGTAAGTGAAGTCTGAACTGAATCTGCAAGTGCAGTCTCCTAATCTGCATAATTATTCTTAGACAATAACTCAGAACGCACTTGCGTCTTTGTATCAGCATGACGGTCAAGAAACTAGATTAGCAATTGCTGCGCCGATATTTTTTCAAGACAAGGTTACTTTTCAAAAAAGCAACATACATTAGCAGTGTGAAGTTAGCCTTAACAGCCATAACGAGCTGTCAGGTTTCAGTGTTTTTGGCTAAAGAAAATGTAACGCATGAGGGTGCCACAAGCACATGATAAATCCAGTATACATTTTTTTTTAATCTTGCAATAAAA